GTCTCCTGATTTAAGGTAAATTCCTCAAGGAGACACCGCCTATGTTAGGTGGAACTTAAGCAATAGCTTCACACAATTTAGCTTGGACCCTCCTTTTCTAACAGCCTTACTAACTTTATAGTCCTCTAACTCCTTACCTAACCACTTCTAGGAATATTTAGATAACCTTCTGCGCTGACAGCTATGCACACGCAGAACCCCAGTTCTAGCCTCCCTGTAATTATCATCATTGGCAGCATCCACCAGGTCCATCCCCAGATGGAGGAAAGTACCTTATCAGAGATACCTCTATACTCTCTAAGAACAGACTTAAGCATCCAGACTACCTGTTTGAGAAGGCCCAGTGGATGTGCCAATTAAGCTTAACTTTCTGCTTTCTAAAGTCTTATCTCTAGCTTTAGATCCACCCTTAACAATTAACTCAGAACTAAAGGGTTCCAACTTACATGTGCATCTAGCTGTGATGGAAGTTGCCTAGCCAAGTTGCCTAGTGATGGAGCACTTGCCAGAAATGGTAGGAGCAGAGATGGCTTGGAGAGATAAGGGCCAAAGGAATAAAAGGACAGTTTTATTTTCAGAGAAGAAAGATAGAACTTAGAGGTATAAGGAGACGGAGAGGAAAAGAGGAGGGGAGAACCTGAGGATGGAGAACTGAGAGGGATAAGGAGGATTTTGACCAGAGAGAATGTGTGGATGAGATGGAAGATGAGGAAGAGTCAGATGGCGAAGTACTAGCTGGGTAATAACGAGATGAGAAGGACCTAGATGAGGCAGAATTAAGATGAGAGAATTAAGATAGAACTTAGAGGGAACAGTAGATAAAGGTAAAGAGAAATCAGGCAAGAAAGGAACTAAGCACAAGAATGGAACTAAAGCTATGTAGATAGGATTCTATCCCAGAGGGATTAAAGCAAGTGGACTAAAGAGCTCTGTGTGCTGAGATTCTATTTCCTGAAAATAGTCCTTACCATTTGTAGTTTTCTCTCCTGAGCCCCTGGGAAGTATAATATTAAGGCTGGTTCTTTTAATGTTACACAAGAATTATCTCAAAATAAAGGGTTGGAAAAAGATTTTCCAAGCAAATAGCTCCAAGAAGCAAGGTCATGTAGCTATTCTAATATCTAATAAAATAGACTTCAACCCAAAATTTGTCAAAAGAGATGAGGAAGGGCAGTTCATATTCATCAAATTATAAATCCACTAAGATGACATTACAATTCTTAGTATCTATCCTTCAAACACAAGGGCACCTTTGTTTGGAAAGGAAAGACAACTAGAGCTTAAATCACCCACTGACCCTCACATATTGATGGTGGGAGACTTCAACACCCAACTCTCACCAATGGACAAGTTATACAGACAAAAACTAAACAGAGAAATATTGGAGCTAACAGACATTGTAACTCAAATGAATACACTTCCTTCTCATTAGCTAATGGAACCCTCTCCAAAATTGAACACATATTAGGTCACAAAGAAAGTCTAAGAGATACAAGAAAATTGAAATAACTCTCTACATCCTATCAGAGCACAATGAATTAAAGCTGGATTTCAACAAAAACAGAAACAACAGAAAGCCTACAAAGTCTTGAAAACTGAAAAAATATATTGAATTACTACAGGGTCAAGGAAGAAATAAAGAAGGAAATTAAAGACTTCCTAGAATTCAAAAAAATTAATGCACAGCAAGTTTAAACATATGGGTCACAATGAAAGCAGCGTTAAGTGGAAAGAAAGTTCATAGTACTAAGCACCTTTGTCAAGAATTTGGAGAGATCTCATACTAGCAACTTAACAGCACACCTGAAAGCTCTATAATGAAAAGAACAACTACAGCCAAAAAAGAGTAGACATACAGCAGGAAAAAAATCAAACTGAGGGATGAAATCAATAAAATAGAAACAGAGAGATCAGTACTAAGAATGAATGAAACAAAGAGTTGGTTCTTTGAGAAAATCAACAAAATAGACAAAACCTTATCCTAACCAACTAAAAGGCACAGAGAGAATATCCAAATCAACAAAATCAGAAATAAAAAGGGAGACATAACAAAAGACACTGAAGAAATCCATAGAATCATTAAGTCATACTTCAAAAACCTGTACTCTTAAGAGCAGCAAAGGATCCAGGCAGTGGTGGCGCACGCTTTTAATCCCAGCACTCAGGAGGCAGAGGCAGGCGGATCTTTGTGAGTTCGAGGCCAGCCTGGTCTACAGCGCGAGATCCAGGAAAGGCTCAAAGCTACACAGAGAAACCCTGTCTTGAAACAAACAAACAAACAAACAAACAAACAAACAAACAAACAAACAAACCCAAAGCAGTAAAGGAAAAAAGGTCAAGTAACATATAAAGGCAGACCTATTAGAATTATATCTGACTTCTCAGTGGAAACTCTGAAAGCCAGAAGGTCCTGGACAAGACGTTCTGCAAATACTAAGAGACCATGGATGCCAGCCCAGACTACCATTCCAAGCAAAGCTTTCAGTCGCCATAAGTGGAGAAAACAAGATATTCCAAGACAAAACCAGATTTAAACATTACATATCCACAAATCCAGCACTACAGAAAGTACTAGAAGGAAAATTCCAACTCAAGGAAGTTAGCTGCAACCACCAAAACACTAACAATTACTGGTCATTAATAGCTCTTAATATCAATGGGCTCAATTTATCTATAAAAAGACACAGGCTAACAGAATGCATACAAAAACAGGATACATCCTTCTGCTGCATACAAGAAACACACCTCAACCTCAAAGACAGACATTACCTCAGAGTAAATGGTTGGGAAAAGGTTTTCTAATCAAATGGACCTAAGAAACAAGCTGGTGTAGTTATCCTAATATCTAACAAAATAGACATCAAACTAAAATTAATCAAAGAGATAAAGAAGGACATTTCATATTTATAACAGGAAAAATCCGTCAGAACGAAGTCTCAATTCTGAACATTTATGCCCTCAATACAAGAGCACCTACATTTATAAAAGAAACATTTGTTTTCAAAAGATTTCCTGTGTCCTACCTGGCCCACACTTGGGACAAATCATTCTCACCTGCAAGTGGCAATCATATTAGTAAGTTCTAATTGCCTAGGGCTAGTTAGAGTCTGGTTAAGGCTACAGCTTTCCATTTTGGAGCAGGTCTGGACAAGTCCCAGGCTTTGTCCTTACTTGGTTATCTGCTGACTGTAGTTCAGGCCTGGTACTGTATGTACTTTGCTGTCGAGAGTATTGGAGATGAATTGTCCTTTGTTGGTGGCTCTCTCAGAAACTGCTTGCTCAGTTTCAGGAAACTGAAATTGAGGCCTGATCTCTGAGAGAAGACTGAGCAGGCTCTTATGGTGTCTGCTTGGTCCTCTCAGATGCAGATAAAGACCATGTCACGGTCTCTCAGGATACAATGAAATAGCCCATAGGTAAGTTAAAGGACACAGAACACAAGCAACCATATGAGGAAGATGATAATCATGGAGCTGGCTCTAAGTTTTGTAAAGAACTACTCTGAAAAGTATTAATGGAAAATATTTTACCTAGTTTATAAAATAATCTGTCACATTCCATCAATTATTAGCAAACAGAAAAACTGCAACCCATAAAAAAATCCATCCTTCCTATATCAAAAAGTAAATGTTGATGTCTCATAAAACCCCCGACTTTTGACTCATATGGAACACACATGCATCAATCCAGTATTTTCCTTTTGTTAACTCTGAACATCTGAGACAGACAGCAATGAAGACAGGGTTTCAATTTTCCCATTCCATGTCACTTCACATGTGGGATTTGATACTGATAGATACATGGCTAAATTCTGACAGAAATTGACCACAATGGTACTGTAAGTATTACTTGAAATCTCCTGCCTTCATGGACATAATTACCATACATGTGAGTTCTTTGACAAACAGAGTCATTAGACTGAAAAATAACTTCATAGCATGATAGGTACTAAAGAAGACAGCTTTAAGAGATATGTTGGGCAAAAGACTGGGTTTTCTAATCATCTCCTCATTGGCAAAAGCCAATGCCAAAAAAGTTGTTGCTTTAGAGGTAGCAAATTTAAAAGAAAGAAGGATTTTAGAGAAGATAGGAGTCTAAACAATATAATTTTCAATCCAAATGCAATGCACAATATATATTTGTATATAATCAATAATAATAGAAGAAAAAAGAGATTATCATCTTGAGAGTGAGGAGGGATGGGAGGAGTTTAAGTGAGGACAGATGGCAAGGAATGTAGGGAGGAAAAGAGAAAGTGATACATTTTTATTTCAATGAAAACAATCAAATTTCATAAACAAGAAAAAAATAATATAAAGAACCGTTGTTGTAGTGGGGATGTCCTAATCTTAACTGTACTGGGTCTATGACGAGTCATTTACTCCCATGGGCTGATGTGTTGAAACTTAACCCCCAGTGTGGCAATGATGAGAGATGGTTGTGTTTTTTTTTTTTTTTTTTTGAGAGATAGGACTCACAAGGAGGCCACCCTGTAATTGCAAGTGCTGACCTTTGAAGGCATTGAAGTTGATTTAGTGGGACCTTTATAGTAGATACACGAGCATAATTGATGGAGAACAAGAGTAAGCCTGTTTCACTGTCTGGCTCATGTTTCACCACATGTTGTCTCATTCATACCCCTAACAAGAATGCCATTTGATGTGATGCAACATAATCAAGGTTAGAGTGGACAGAAACCAAAATGACAGACTACTTTTACACTTTCAAACTTCAAAACAGTGAGCTACAGAAAATAGTCTAGTATATATAGATACTATAGTGCACTAGGGTTTGAAGATACAGGTTACTTTTAATACGAATGAATAGTAATATCTCTATTGCACAATTTTGTGTAATCATAGCATCCCTGTTCATCCCTGAAACTATTTTTGAATCTAAAATTATGTCTTGATTAAAAACAAGTGAGGCAAAGGCACGTGCCATTTTGTCAGTTTTGTCATGAGCCTCAGAACTCTGACATCACAGTGACATCACCTTGACTACTGCAGACTCCTCAGACTTCAGTAGTTGGTCTGCCAACTGCTGTAGCTGTCTTTGGTGTTTAGTACCAAAGAGGAAAAAGAGAATTGCAAGTCCATCAAATGACTCTCCATTCCAGGCTCTGCTGAAAAGGTATTCTTCTAATATCCACTTTCTATCCTTAGGCTAGACTGGTGCTCTCAGGAGATGTTTTGTCTTGATTCCTCCAGATTATTTGAACTAATGTTTACACTTCAGCTCTAGCTTCATGAAAAGTTACTTAGGATAATGTTAAGTGCTGTCCTCTAAATAAAGGAGACATTATACTGTCAGGGGAGGAATGTTCTGAAGTACATGGTAGGAAAATGTAATTCTCTTAAAATGGCTGTTGGAGCTATGGGGAGGTTTTATGTTTTGCTCAGTCTAGTTGTTTTAACTATTTTGATCATAGAGCAGCACAGGATAGAGGTCACATTTCATCCACAGTTCTTGAAACTCTCTTGTATTAAGGAAGCTTTTGATGTTTTCAAAACTATTTGGTGTTCTTCAGCACCTATTTCTAAAATTTGAGCAATACTTATGCACGAATGACTTTCTAAGAATCCTCGTCCACTTGAATTTTTATGCTAACATGTAACTAAATTTGAACTACTTGTTCACATACTTTGTCAAAATTTTCAGTTTTGGGATAGCTACTTTTTTTTAACCCCTTCTTGTTCTTTTTGCTTCAGTCCTTGTATTATATTTATGAGTCCTTCTTGAAAAATGAAGCATAGAAAATTAGGTAAATATGTGGGTGAATATACATCTATGTGGGTGTATATACAAATATACTGTTTAGGTAGCTACATTGCATAGATTAATGGGATTTCTAATCTAGTAATTCATTCTCTTCAAAATTTTGTGACTGTACATTTCCATTCCTTGATTTTAATGATGCCTGTAAATTTTGAACAGCTACCTAATTGAAGCCTTTTCTTGGCTTCTGCCTCTCTTTTTCATTGTAGAATATTACTCTAGTAGCTTTTATACAGACATTAATGCTTAAGTAATTGTGAATAGCAGTCTGATCATATACTCTTCCTGGGTCTGGGTTACCTTATTCAGGATGATTTTTTTTTCTTTTGCCATTTATTTGCCTGAAAATTTCATTTTTCTTAACAGCTGTATATCTTCCATTGTGTAAATGTGCCACATTTTCTTTATCTATTCTTCTGTTGAGCCAAATCAAGATTGCTTCCAATTTCTGGTTATTATGAATAGAACAGCAATAAACATGACTGAGCTAGTGTCTCTCTGGTAAGATAAAGCAGTCTTTGGGTATATGCCCCAAGAGTGATATAGCTTAATATTGTGGTATGTCAATCCCCATCTTCCTGAGGAAGCAACACACTGATTTTCACAGTGTCTATAAAACTTTGTACTTTACACTAGCAATAGATGGATATTCCACTAATACCATTAACATCCTTGCCAGGATGAGCCACCATTTGTTTTATTAATCTTAGCAATTCTCACAGGTATAAGGTGAAATCTCATTATGCTGATGGCTAATTTGAACATTGTTTCTTAGACATTTGAGTTTTCCCTTGACAATCCATTGTTTAGATTTGTACCCCATATTTTAGTTGGTTTATTTTCTTGATATTTAGTTTCTTTGAATTCTTTATATATTTTGGGTATTAGCCCTTCTTTGGATGTGCAATTGTTAAAACTTATTCCAATAAGTTTTATTGGAATATTGGATGATGGAGTTCTTTACTGTACAGAAGCCTTGCAGTTTCATGAGGTCCCATTTATTAATTATTGATCTTAGTACCTGTGCTGATGGTGTTCTATTCAGATAGTCTTTTCCTATGCCAGTGAGTTCAAGGCTATTCCCCAATTTCTCTTCTATAATTATATCATCTTCAGTGTATCTAATGTTATGTTGAGGTCTTTGATCCATTTGGAGTTGAATTTTCTGAAGGGAAAAGCATCGATCTGTTTGGATTCTTCTGGTAGCCTCCTGTCTGACCAGACTGTTTGTTGCAGGATGTTGTCTTTTTTCAGTGTATATTTCTGGTTCTTTGATCAAATCAAGGTTTCCATAAGTGTCTGGATTTATGTCTGGATCTTCCATTTGATTCCATTGATCAACGTGTCTGTTTTGTTTAGTTTTGCCAACATGATGCTATTTTTATTAATCTAACTCTGAAGTACAACTTGAAATTGGGGATTTTTTGATTATCTCTCTCTCTCTCTCTCTCTCTCTCTCTCTCTCTCTCTCTCTCTCTCTCTCTCTCTCTCTCTTTCTCTCTCTCTGTCTACCACTGAGTTATAGCCCCAGCCCAACTTAAGAAGCCAATGTTTTAGGAAATAATTACCTTCGCTATATAACACTCTGATAGTTTCCTATTTTCTCTCTCTCTCT